TGAGGCTCCAATGGCTGATCGATTAAAGGGAAAGAGAGGACGAGTAGAGATAGAGAAAGAGAGCGCGAGAGGAGAGAGAGAGGGTGTGTAGAGAGAAGAAAAGAGGTATAATGAGTAAAGAGAGAAAAAAAGCTAATTTTCAATTGTGTAGAGATCGGGAGAGAGAGAGAGGGAAGGTAGAGAGGGTAATGGCATTTTAGTCTCAATATTAGTTAATTTTTTTTATTAAAGAACTCAATAAAAAAAAAATAGTATTCGAATTTAAAATGGGACACAGATGGTAAGATATCTAAAAAAATTGATCGTGGGGGTCTCTATAATTTTCTAAAGTTTTGACATTGTTTGTTGTCATTCTTAGGCAGAATGCAGTCTTAGGCCAGGTCATGCACAACAGGAAAGAAAACATCAAATCAGTAGAAAACAAGCACATACAGTCGCCTAGATAAAAAAAATAGATTAAATCTCAATGCGGAGAGCAACTTATGTTTCGTTGGAACTTGGAAGTGACCAGATCCATGTCCCGTGTGGGACGCCAAGTGTTGCTGACAGCAAATGGTACATCTTTGTTTAAGTCACATCGACGTGTATTAGGTGTTGCGGACGAGATCAGATCTATATATATATATATAATCTCACATTCTTTTTAATAGCCAAAAATATCATTATTAAAAAAAGGCTTAATGTATAAAATAATAATATATAAGTGTCTAAAATTTATTGAGTAAAATTATAAAATATTTTATAGTATGAGCACCCTAACATAACCCATGTGGAAAAGTCTTAAAAACGTCTATAGGCGAATTGCTATCGTGTTTCCCCCACGTCACAGACATGTTATGTCCGTGACGGTTTTGCCTAAAAACCACCACGGATTTATGGTAGCTGTGGCAGTTCCCGTATATTTTTTGTGTCAATTTTACATGAAAAAAATCTTGTCACGGGCATGCTATATCAAAAAAATTTCATCACGGGCATGCTATATCTGTGACGGTCTTTAATCCATGCGGTCTGAAAAAATTAGATGGCACCGAACTTATGGGCAAAAATATTGTTCATTTTCACACGTAGGAGTTTTGTAATATCTTCCATATATATATATATATATATATATATAAAGATCATGATAGCCCACAAACTGATAG